CATGCATGCCATTGTATATATATAGTTATAATATTTGATTGAAGCTTACATACACCAATTTTTTATATTTTCCAAGTTTTTTTGTGGTCCTAAATAAATTGTCCTTTATATGGTAAATCAAGGTTCAAGAAGCCAACACATGGGACACATCCACCCAGCAAACTTCTTTGCTACAAAACTATTGATTGACTGACTTGAAAAGTGAAAACTGTAAAACTATCATGATTCCTTTGCACATGCATATGCCATTTTGAAACTTGTGAGCAAATTTCTTTGAGAATCTCTATGATTTTATTGGTAAGAAGTAGGGCCAAGCTCTATATAAGATCATATGTGTGATGAAAATATTTTTAGTTACTTTTTCTTGAAGATAAGAGGAGAACATGATCTAGGATAATATACGTGGCCCTCTTGTTTTTGTATAATTGGTAAAACCTAAAATTGGGCTTCTTGTAATTTTCCCTACTAAATTGTTCATAATCTCATTATTAATTATTATTATCCCTCCTATTATTCTTAGAATTATTATTAGTAGCATTAGTATTAGTAGTTGTCTGGTTTATCGTGTTACTATGCAAAAACACGATGTAATTTCACCTTGCAGCAATATGATTATGATGAAATTGGGCCAAATATTAATGACATGATTGATAAGAAAGAATGCCATGGGAATGGAATGATCATTCCCTTACTCATTCCTTATCCCATGATTGATATATTTTTTGAGAAGGAATGACCATTCCCATTGGAATGGCAAAACCCATCTCCATGGGATTAGTCATTCCATAGTAAATTGAAGGTTTTTTCATTCCCATGTGTGTAGGAATCAATTTTTCAAAAAATAAAATTAACAAATAATAATAAAAAATAAATATATAATGTATATTATAAATCATGATTAAACTATATTAAATAAAATTATTTTTAAAAAAATTCAAATAAAAAAATTGAAAACTTACTTTTATTTATTTTTTAATTAGATATATTATATACTTATATAAAAATAAAACTAAAAAAAGCATTTATATATAATTTAAAAATATATTATTTTATTTTTATATGTTATTAAAAATATATTATTTTTTATATATTAAAAATATATTACTATTAAAAATATATTATTTTTCAAAAATAAAAATAAAAAATTAAAAAACTTACTTTTATTTACTGTCTAATTAAAAAATAAAATATATATTATTAAAAATATATTACTTTTTATTTTTAAATATTACTAAAAATATATTATTTTTTATATATTAAAAATATATTACTTTTAAGAATATATTATTTTTAATATATAATTTAAAAATATATTATTTTATTTTTATATATTATTAAAAATATATTATTTTTTATATTATTAAAAAATATATTATTTTATTTTTATAGATTATTAAAAAAGAATTTATATATAATTTATTAAAAGTATATTATTTTTTTAAAAAAAATTTATTTACTTTTATAATAAAAAATGATAATGTCATTCCATTCCAGTCCTATTCCTTCTGCATATCAAACGCATCAATGAGAAAACATTTTTCATTCAATTCCCATAATCATTCTATTCCTACGAAATTCCACCCATCATACCAATCATGCCATAAGAATATTCAGTTATCTTTCAGAATTTAAGTAAATCTCAATAATAATTATTTACATTTTTGTGATTTAACAACTATTTGAGTAAAACCTAATCATGATGATCAGTGCAACAACGTGAGCTTTAACCAAATTACAAAAACCCTTTAGCCTAAATTTCATATTCAATTTGACAAAGATTCAACTCACAACTTATTTATGCTCTGTGAAATAGCGAATATTAGGAAAATTTGTAAAATATACCTAGTATCTAGGAGCAAATAATAATTTTGTCTAGTAACTTTTATGACTGCACAAAATGTTCATTAATCATAAAAATCGGGCACGACGTGCCTAAAAAACGCCAGAATCTAGCATAAGCTACCTACTAACTAATTGAAAAAAGTTGCTAAAAATGTCCACTAGTAATTCATAAAAATATTGGGCAAAAAATTGCCATCTGCCGAAGTAACTGAGTATAATTTGCAATTTTCTTGAGAATATAATTATTGTCAATGTTTTGATCCTTAAGTTATGAAAAGCTACTCCATAGCTTGACATGCAAATTGCATAAAGCAAATTGATAATAACTGTGATATATACAGCAGAAATTCTTATAACTAAGCACCATCTCAATTATATATGCCAAGATCACTTTATTTTTCACACACAGCCTCAAAATTCAAACCTACTCACAAAATAATGGAGCTAAGGATGAAAAAAGCAATGGGGGTTCTCTTTCATGCACCAATTTTTTTTTTTTTTTAAAAAAAATTGTTTATTTATTCTTTGGTCCTCCTTTTTGTCAGAATTCTTATCCACCCATGTTTAACTTTTGCTCCTTCAAGTTTTTTGCCCACATGAGACGACCCATTGCCTTTGCTGGCCGACCTCCTCCACCTGATGAGGTGGAGGAGGTGGCCAATCCGCTTCCGCCACCTCAACGTGGCGCGTGTTTTCGCGTGCTCCACGACACTCTTGGTCTTGTTGGCCTTGTCAGGGGTATTATGGTCATTTTCAAGACGACGATTGATTTGATTATTGTTGTCATTTTGAGTTTTGGATACTTTGCCTTTGTCCCATGAGGCAACTCCATTGTCTTCAAATCTGATTGATATAAAGGACTCTGTATGAAGTGGGAAAATTTATATTTTGGGTTAAAAAATTATATTATCTTGAAAAAAAAAATAAAAATTTCAATTAACTAATTAATAAAGCAACATATATGTTGTCTTTGTATAACAATTGTGGGTTACATAATTCATTCACATAGCTCAAACACAAATTCTTGTGTCTGACAGTCTAATCGTTAGGCGGATCGAGGACCCGTCATACCATTTGAACAAAAATGCACTCATACTATCAATAGTCACACTTCTATTTATGTTATTTATTAAAGTATGATATTTTCTAATGAAAGTATACATATATTTGTAAAAAAAAATATGTTGATCTAATGAGACTGGTCTAACACAAGATTCGTTGTTACTCAAAAGTATAAAGAAAAAAGAATAAAAAGAAACTCAAAAAGAATAGGTTATGTATTTAATTTCCCTTTTTTGATTATCATTCAAAGAAAAGTTCACGTGCACAAATACACACTGTCCTATTAGATTCGGTAAGCAATCAGAAAAGTAGCTAATCTGATAGTGTTACAAAATTGAGTAAAGAACCAATAAAAATAAATAAATAAATAAATAAATAAATCACCTTTTATAATTTAATTTTGCAGATATGCAGTGATGCAGTTTTTAGTTAAAGGTTTTGCTCATAAAATAAACTGTCGATTAATGTTATTCTATGGTGGTGAATGGTGATGATCAAATGCTTATAATGCAGATTTGGAATCATTCACATGTGCACACTGAACAATCAAAATCATGATTAATAATTAGATTTTGTCACTGAATTATTAATCCAAAGTACAGTGTGACATAATCTGTGCTTCAACATTAGTTGAAACTAATCAACTCCCGATCCAATATTCCTAATTAACAATGCATTTATTATAGATTCACATGCAGATGACAATTTTGAGGTCAAGATTATACATGTGAGCATCCATTAGGATAATATTATTACGAATTTCTGGTAACAAGTGTATCTATGGTGCCCATATGGGCGCCATAGAATTTCTGGTAACTTATGCGTAACTTATGCTATTACAGATACTACTCGTTAACTAATAAAAAACGAGCACAATATACCCAAAAATTATAAAAATCATGCAAATTAAACTATTACTAACTGCAAAAAAGTTGTAAAATATGACTACCTATATCACGTGTTTGAGTTGAATATTCCCAATTTAATTAGTTGTTGGACACTTTCTACCATTGCAAGTAAAAGTTAATGGGCACAACTTACAATTTTTCACATCTTACTTACAAAACATGTCCATCAATCTTTCAAATTAACACTACAAATATATCCTATAGTTTCTTTCTACATATTCAATTGGTTTATTTATAGTTGCCAAAAATATATTTTTAGTCATGTTGGTTTAACGCCATAACAATTTTTGTCTCAAAGTTTCAAATTTTTGTATTTTGGTCCCGTGATTTAATATTTTACTGCAATTTCAGTCATTCGAGGGCTGAAATTACAATAATATTCTAATTTACTGGACTGAAATTGCAACAAAATTTTAAATTAAAAAATTTAAATTGCTAATAAAAAATCTGTGAATTTGGGAATTTGTTGCAATTTCAGTCCTAAAAGAATTGAAATTACAACGAAATATTAAATCACAGGACCAAAAAGAGGAATGTTAAAACTTTAGGGGACTAATATTGCAATAACATTAAACCAGTAAAACTAAAAATGCAACTTGCCTTAATAGTTAGACTAAACCTCAAGTTAGTTTGAGAGAGAGAGAGAGAGAGTAACCTTCATGACTAGTTGATGACCCACTTTCATCACATACATGATCAACTGACTTGTGTTGCATAACATCCAAAGGATTAATTAAACCACTTAGAGCAAAAATCTTTGGAGTTGCTCTTCTTGATGTATGAACTTGATGATAATGCTTTTGCTTTGAAGCTGCCAAGACCAAGAGCCTCTCTTTCAAGCATGAGGCACAAATCCCTATTACCAACTCTCTTGGGTGAAAATAGCACCACACTAGTTCATCTTCTCTCTCCCCATTCATTTCTTTCTTTAGTTTCTCTCTGTAGAAACAAGAGACACTAGGTAATAGGATTGGAAATTTGAGCAGGAAAAAGACGAAATGGAACCGCTTATATATATAGGTGTTGTGTAGTGTGTGAGTACATATGGACAAGTGTGTCAAAGGCTAAAGTGTAGGTCTTTTGACAGTGGGGTTTGTCATTGTAGGGTTTATATATATATATATATATATATATATATATGTGTGTGTGTGTGTCTATCAGTATTTTGAGACACGGGTTAGCGGGTCGACCCAGGATCAATACCGGTCTGAGTGGGTTGTTTGAACCAAGTAGCAAAGGACCCAGTCAAAACCCGGTTGACCAGAGTATTGACCTAGCTGTCAACTCAATTTGACTCGGTCATTATTATTGTATGGTTTATATATTTTCAATAAAGAGAAGTGTATTATATGTAACAATAATAATTGGCTACTTGTAAAAATTTAAAGGGTGTGTCTTAAGGAGGAGAAAAATAAATAATTCGGAATGATAAAATGTAGATGACAAATGTACTTCTGACGAAAGGAATGAAATGGTAAATAAATAGAGAAATAAAATAAAAAAATAATAGAAGGATTAAAACGGGATGCAAATGATGAAACTTGAGCCCGAAATCACTGGGTTCAACCAAAAGAACGATTCTGAGCTCAAACACAAAATTACATTGGTTTCGAGTTTTATTGAGGAACACTATTAAACACAGCAATAATACATGACCTAAATATGTTGCAATTGTATAGTATCACTTAAACTACAAGTACTAAATATTGGTCATATATCAATTAAAAAGAATTAATAAGAATAATTAAAAATAATTGAGTTCGCATCTTGATCTCCATCTGTGTAATTAATAGTAAATAATGTAATTGTGTGGTTAATAGTAAATAATTTAATTGCAAAATTCTGGTATTCGCTGTGGTTGGAGTTTTTGATTCATATATCCTTTGGATTTTTCTGCTTTTGAGTATTTTGTGAATTGTGAGTGTTCTTTGGATTTTTCCTACGCCAAAAAAATTATTTCTTACCTTGGCCGATCATTTTTAGCACTTTTACGGTTTTACCTACTTTAGAAATAAATAAATAATAAAATCAATAAAAAATGTGAGTTAATAAAAGATAAGATTGACTCAAGTCAACTCCCCTGCTGTAAAGTGGATCTCACCTATATTCCTATATTTAGTGTAAAATTCGCTTTTCTATTATTCTTTTTACTTTTCGTAAAGAAAGAAATAATTTAAAAATAAAAATCTCTTGGATCCTGTTTTTACAGGAGTTTCGTCCTAATAATTATAATATTTTCATGGAGACAATTGGATGTGCAATCTTATTACAAATATATTTAAATATTACAATTCTGATTTTGATTTAAAAGAACAAAATTCATTACAAACATATGAATCAAGAATTGAACTCAAAAGATCATATGGCAATACTTCTATTTATTTCAAGTTGCCTTGAAATTTTATCATACTTGAGGATTTTATTCAAATTTGATGATCCGATTATTATTACACCAAGACAGAACAAACTTCAATTGAACCAAACAGGACTCAAAATGATATATATATATATATATATATATATATATATATATATAAAAAACTCAGACCATGAGAATTTAGGCCGTGCCAACTCATTTTGTTTGGCAACCATATTAATTGCAAGCTTTTATAAATGTATCAACCCCTGATGGCGATCAAATGGAATAAGAATTAAGTTTAAAATCAAAATCATAATAAGGTAAGGAAATAGCTTAAAAAAAAACTAAAAACATGAGAAAAATGCTATTAGAATATCCCAATTCCCACTTAAAATTAGTATAATTTCCTCGTTAAATTCAGCTAAAACTATGTTAATAGTTATTATTTATATATAATTTTCAATTATATAACATTCTTTGGAATTACTCCCAAAACCCGGGGTAGTTTTTGTAATTTGTACATGTGAAGCAGAGGCTTTAAACTGGTAGTCTGTTATAATAAACATACGTCTGTTCTGTGTTCACAGAACAAAGATAATAAATAAGCACTACACGTCAAACTTTGTTATGTCTTTAACTTCTTCGTAGTCCCTGCAAAACCAACAAGTAAAAGTAGGATCGCATGGTAAATAATAGCAACAAAAAACATGAAGTCTTGCATGGACGATCTGTCATTAGACAGAATAATTCGTTGTATTTTTAACAAAATTACATATTTATATTATGAAATATCATACTTTTATTTATATTATTTCCTAAAATATGAAATATCATACATTTAAGTTTGAAATTATGAACATATGTTAAAATAAATAGGATTGTGTAATTTTTATGTTTGCCTAACATAAGCCTTAACAAACAAAAAATTACGAGCACAAGCATCACTAGTTTCGAATTTAATATGGAACAATTTGAAAACATTTAATAAAAGAAATTAGAGCACATTATAAAGATCACAGATTCTTGTATGAGGCAGTTTTAACCGTTAGACAAGTCGACCCTCCATACTCTGAAAAAAAATACATACTTATACTATCAAATATTATACTTTGTCATAATTCTGGTTATAATGCTTTTTTAAATACGACATTATGAAAGTATGTATATTTGCGAAAAGAGTATGCAAGCTTAATGATTAGACCAACCTAACACAAGACCTACCGTATAAGGATAGGACATGAAAACCAAAAGTCATACTTGTAGACTTAAGAGCAATGCAAATCAAGTGAAACAATTACAAAATTTTAGGTCATCCAAATATTAATTGGAGTAATGCAGCTTAACTTACATTGTTCCCATTCATATCCATGCCTTTGGATATCGAAGTGCCAAGAGCCTCTTCATTCCTCTTAGCTCTTTTAACTGCAAGCAAAGAGCAGAATTCAAAAGTTATCAAAATCAGATAATAAATTAATAATTCCAGATTCTAAACTGTCATTCATATACAAACAATGAGGCATAAAACAGTGTGAAAATAGAGTTGAACAATAGGTTTTACCGGGCTGAGAAATCTTTTTTATGCAGTTTTGTCTTTTCTTTGGCAAGTTCTTCTCTTGTTTTGATTCCAAAGGTTCAGCTTGAGAATTAGGATTAGTATCGCCACTGTGATTACAGCAAAAGTCAACATTACAATATATTATTACATGGAAACAGGACATATAACAAAAAACACAGAAACAAATAGAATGCATACAATTGAATTCAAAGAAAATTGTACTCTGCATCACTACTGGAATGGGATTTTGATAATTAATGGATCTCTAATCACTAAGAAAAAGATAGGCAAAAATTAGTTAGACAAAATTTACCGTATTCTTTATTTTTCTATTCATCGATAACCATGTACCTTCAAAGATCAAAAGTCCCTAGAGAAACTTTTTTCATGATGCAAATGAGAGAAGTCAAAACAGTTCAACTAGTTACTACTGTGAAATTTAGTGATGTCGGGATTCAAAGCACAACCATATCAACTGGTAAAAGTTTTATCTTCACTATCAGATAATCTGAAAAATGAACGTCAATGTATAAAACAAATTTTAAAATTTTATGAACTTTCTGGGAACAATACTCAGTTCAGGGGAATGTAAAATTTTAAGATTAATTGTGATAATGGAAAAATCACATATCATGAGCCAAATCAACTAGAACAAGAAATCACACAAGAAGCTTCCAATAGTTTTGTGTCCTTACCAATATTGTGCTTGGAGATCATCCATATCCTGTAGAATAAAATCAGTGTAAGCATTAAGTTCCAATAAAAAGGGCAAGACACTAAAGACCACTCAATTGCATTCAAAATGAGGCCAAAGCATTTGAAGGGGCAATGTGTGTCAATGATTACTGAAAGGATGTTAGTTATAATGACAACAGAATATTCAGCACATAGATCGAAGAATTTAGAATCATCTGATTTCACTTGAAATTAGGATGTAATTACTTACAATTTCCCAAGTCTCACTGTCCAAGCTTAGAATGTCAGACTCCCCACTCTTGTAAGTAATCTAGAACAGTTTCAGGATTAGATGGAAGAAACTAAGTGAAGAAAGAATAATCTAAAACATGTAGTGCTATATCCACTTCATAGCACATCATATCATCAGAAGAGTCTCCAGGGAAAAATAGTACAACATTAAAGATACTGTTCCGTTTGAATACAGCTTATTAGACTCTCCAGTTTCTCAAATTAGATATATGAGAAGCGGAATAGCAATATACAAATCACAATTTAAAGTATTCAGAAGGTGCCAGAATTTGTAGTTAAGAAATAGAGAAATCCTGTCAAGACAAACTCATAACTACCTGGTGAGTGCTTTTGGTGGAATCAAAACCATCCACAACACCCGCATAGTAGCTGGAAAAGAAGTTTAAATCAGATTATCAGAGTCTAATGCAGTAAGCGAAATAAGCTGACACTCAGGGTTCTAACTGTAGAGCTGTCCTCACCATTTTTCAATTGGTGACCATAGTTTAATACGCTTGCCAACTAACGTTTCACCACTGCCTTTTACAATCTGCGTACCCTGTAACAGTTAACNAAAAAAAAAAAAAAAAGAGAGAGAGAGAAAAGAAAGAAATACAATTTAGAAGCTCTGCATGAACCTACAATCGCATTGGAGGTTGAACATTTCACTTGGTTGTCGTCACTTAACAAATTAGATGGTCCAACCAAACTACTGTCACATTTATCAACCGCGTCTCTTTCTCTTGAACAACTTCCAATGACTTCATTTTCGGACGAAGTGGGTTTTCCATGGGAATCCCCTTCATGTTTAGCTCCACCAGAAAACTTATCTTTCTGTAAAAGCGATCCAACATGAAAGGATTTTGCAGGCTTTCCTTGTCCTTCAGGATCAAACAACTCCCTGTGTCCAGTTTGGAGCTCAACACTTTGCTCTTTAATATTATTTACCAGCAAACTTTTATCGCCAGATTTAGAAGTTGATGTCAAGGGTCTACCACTGCTGGGTCGTACAGAAGTCTCATTAGATTGTTGGCCATGCTTTGTGCCTGTCTGGACGATCTAAACAAGGAAATTCATTAAGAATAATATCCAAGAGCACATCAAATGGTTATAAAACAATTAGTGAATACGCACCACCCCAGAAACCTCGAATTTGAGGCGAGATACCAATTTTTTAGTAAAGATTGCATCGGCTTTGCTACCAATCAACGGGTAAGCATTAACNATCAGCACAGAACTTGCCTCTATCATCTCAGGACAGCTTGTGTAGAGTGATGATGGGAGCAGAACTAGTCCAGGAGTATGTGGGACAGGGGTGGTACTGATGTTAAGGGAATCTAAAATAGAAATTCCAGCTGCTGCTAAAAGGTGCAGCTTCTACATTTTTACAAGAATGAGGCATTAAACAAATGCAGGATTCACATTCACACTAGTGTACAGTGTTTGTGAGTGTTTGATATAGAAAAGTAAAGAACTTTTTCTGTAACAAACACATTACTTACGGGAGTCATCTGGGCATCGATAGCATCCCCTGCCTTCTTGATTGCATTAAAAATACTTCGCAAATACAATGAAACATTGGATTTACTGCTCGAGTTCCCACCAAGCAACATTTCATTCACTAAGGCCTCTACAGTGATGAAGAGTGGACTGTGGAAAGAATGATCACGACAAAATAAGAACTCACGTTAATGATACTTCATCTATACAGCTTAACCTTTTTTAATACCATGGTGACTGCATCACCAGCAAATAATCAATACCTCAGAAACTCAGCATATATATCTTCATCTCGACAGTCTGGAGAAGGGAAATCAGGGTCATGGGCAATAACATGGATCAAAAACACAACCAGGTATGCAGGGTGATTATCTGATTCTTGTATGGTCGTGGTTTCATGTAGTTGAGCTCTTTTACCAAACTCCCTGATAAATTCTTCCAAGTACTTTAATCCCTGAAGATTATCAGGTCACCAATGTGCTAAATATGATCTAGAAGATGACTTGAGATAAGAAAAAATGACAATGGGTGGATAACACAAACTCACAGCATTACGCAAATCTTCAATGCAATCTAAAGCAACAAACGAGAAGGCACATGCATATCTACTGGGCATGGCGTGTTTATTCAACAACCTGTGTACTTTGCTGGCAAATGATCTGCGCACCCAAGGAGAAGGATCCTGGAAAAAGGTCTAAATATTACACTCAAACCACACTGGTCACAGTAACCACCATGCCTTTCTCAGTGAGTTTCACAATTTCATAAACCACAGATACTGCAGGAAAATGTCTAAATGACAATAAAGTCATCACTTAATGATAATAGCTTACATCCTAATCCCATGTCATCACTTAAACAGTAATATCTTACATGCCCTCGAGGTCGACTAACCTTGGCCATTGATATTGTCAAGCGGAATATCTGGGGTGAAATATGCAAATCCCATTTCCTTGAAAGCCTAAGGACAGACTTTGCCGCAGCTACACATATGAAAGCCTCATCGTGTACACTGAAAACCAGGGAGATATACCTTGTTAGAAAGCGAAAGATAACTGAAACCGCAACAGAGAAAAGCTAATGATATGGAACAAGAATTGTGAACTATCCAAGAGATCTATAGAGAAAGGCTATCCAATCTGGGGTTAACTCCTTTCAGTGTGAGTGTCGGTAAGCCAGTTTATATGACAAAAAGAAAAACACATGTCAAGATATAATAACCTATCCAAATGTACAGTTGAGGTATGAAAAGAGCCAAACAAGATAAGACAGCTTATCTACATTAAATCGGCCAAAAGCCTCGTTTATATTGCAGGAGCTACTAAGTATCAAACTGGTGGGATTACTTTTTCGGGCCCCCAAGTCAAGATAAGAATTACTCAAGTCCCAAATAGAAGAGGATTATTACAATTTTTCTCATTGAGAACGCTTGCAGCAGAAGGCATAAAAAGAATAAAAGTATATATAGGAATGGATGCCAGAATCAGTAACATAAGCTCAGTACTCCTGCACTTTACATCTAGGCAGGAAATAAAACAAAATACATTTTGAATATCCTCACCATGGGATACTACCAGCAGGAAATCCACGCTTTTGTAGCATCTGCTGAATAACATCCAGCAAGAAACCAATAGGACGAGTACGTGCATGTTTATGTGGCAGATAGCTTCTGACAAGAGCTTTAAGCCCAAAAATCTGTAGATGACATTAATTTAATTATAAGAAGTCTAATTTGGATATAATTATAACAAGGACAAAAGAATAAATGTTTAAATACAATATGTAAAATTCATCCAGTAATAAGTTAATTAAACTCAAAACTACAATCAACTGCACCATGAACACCAACTATCGGTTATGCAGGTCTGTGATCCCAGAAAGCTCCGAGATTAACAATTCCTTATCTCAATGACCACGAAGGAAGGGTGAGTTTGAATTTTTCGATAATAAAACTCATTCAAAAACTTTTGTATTTTGCTATGCAATTCGAATATGTGTACCTTCAATTTACAAGAACTGCAACAGTTTGAATCCTCATCGAAATTCTCAAGATCCTTGGAAGTGAGAGCCTATTACCACAGAAAGAACGCAAAAGGTATGGCATGAGTAACGTAGATAGCAATGGTTAGAGTAGTAACACGGGAAATTATGAATAGTGTAGAAAATTACATCATTTGGCCGAAATATTTTCTCAACAATGTAATTTGTAATCACTTCTTCTAGGTCTTCAAATGATGGAGGCGAATGTTGTGCCAAACAGCCCAATGACTGCAGAACAGTTGGAGCATTCTGTCCATTGCGTAGAGAATCCACGAGCGTCTAGTGACAAGAACAGGAATTTAAGTAAAACATCTGGAATTGAGGAGACTCAAACATTACAAATGAATATTTGGCTCCAGATCCCTATTAAATATAAGTCCCTGTCCAGAGAGCTATTTCTCAATGCATTTTTAATTAGACCTAGTTGTTTGTTCATGGTAACATAGTTTACACAAAAAGTAGACCATCTAGCAAGTAAATAAAAGCATGAATACACCACCTAATTAAGAGAATATGGCAAGTGGCCGAAGTGCTACAGTCATACACTCTGTAAGCAGAGAGGGCAGAGTAGAGATGAAAAATAAACTGCTCAATTCAATATTAAAAAAAAAAAGGGAAATAAATATAAAACCAAAACAGAAAACTTAACATTAACATGAACAATGTTGTTTTCAAATTTCAAACAAAGTTAAAACGTTGTACTTAACAATAAGAGTTGTCCAACATGTGACGCGAGTAATAACACAAGCAAGAGTATTAGGTAAAACAGATGAATAAATGACTGACCTTGCAAAGTTTTGGGAAAATGAACTGTTCGGTACCAGCTAATGCAGCAATTGCAAACACAGCCAATTTAGCCTGGGCGCGAGTTCCTTCTAAACATACCTCCTCCAAGGAAGAGTATACATCGCTACATATGCAGAGATCATAGAATCGCATTACTGAGTACTGGCAAAGCTAAATTGGCATAAATTAGTACGTATAACTTTGATTGACAAAACTTGTGCTATCTTGTAAGTAATTTTCCACTCCTATAGCTTTGTTACCAGTCAATATTTCAGATTGACATACAGCAGTTTGAGCTGCTACATAAATTTTACTGATTCTGTTGGAGCCAACTTCAATATGAGCGACCTTTTCCCTTCTTATCAAAGATTCCGTTACAACTTATCACGTTTGATACTGAAATATAGAGAAATCAAAAGTATAAATCGTTTTTTCATAATTGAATATTGATGTTGAGAATTAGACTGCAAGTACACATATACATATAATTATTTGTGTTCGCATGAATGACCTCAAGACACAATATATCTGTTAACTCTTGAGGACTAAAGAAGTGCCTTGTCCACTTTAGAGATGTCAAGAATAGTGATTTCCTGGATCCTCAACTTTATATTTGATTTTATCCACATAATAACACTGTTACTATCCACTTATGTTTGTATAGATTATTATATTCCACTTATGTTTATATAGATTATTATAAGTGCTAGCATTTAACATATCTATCTTCAGAACTTTTACCCAAAATGCCTATTGCATTCTATATCTATCATTAGGATCTGCATGAAGTACCGACTGCACTTTGTCTTCAGAGTACATCTCCTACAATGTCTATACTAAAATAATAAACTGAGTTTGCAGAGTAAGAAATCCTTAGACAGTAAAGAAAAAGCAAAGATAACCTGTTGAACACATATTTTTTCTTCACACTCCAAAAATAACTGTTTAAAACAGGAAAATGAAATGAACATTTTACCTGAGTTTAATAGAAATATGGCTTCCCTCTACAGCTAGCATTTCAAGCAGTTGTTCATTAAAACAAATCTCCCTTTCACGTAACAAATGCTTGAACTGCTGCTCTGAACCTCTAAGTAGTAAGGGAAAGGCACTGATAATTGTCTAGGTAAGAAAATCATTGAACATAACAAAAATTAGAAACAAAAATGAAAGGATAAGAGAGAATACGATATTCAGAAGAATACATCTAAGAAAGCTAATAAAATACAAATTTTTAGAAAGAAGCAGGCACTGATTAAGCTAATCTGTAGAGAAGCATCACTTACCAAAAGAAGCTGCACCTGACAATCCTTCAAGTGCTTCTTTTCAGTTTCATCATTAGAAAGACAATCCAAAATGTAGCGGACATGCTCAGAGCTAAATACATTAAATGAGCACTTCTTGTAAACTAGATGGATGAATTCAGATAGTGCTTTCTGGTCACCAAGTTCTCTTTCACATACATCCTGGAAAATGCATTTTTTAGAAAATAAGTTATCTAATTGTAACAGAAAGAAAGGGCACATGACTCAAAGAAAGTATTAACACATATGCTAGCTTCAAGACGTCAATAAGTTGAGGCAATAATTCAGACAGTAGCTGTGAAAACCATGCTTACCCCATTGCAAAATTGCTTAAATAAAGAGCAAGTTGATATGATGAATTTCACAATATAAAAGAATATAATATTGAGGGCATGCTTAAATATAAGTGAACTTAGAGATTATTAGGCGAGCTACTTTGATATAGAGGAGCTCGCCCATAATGTCCTTCAACATCCAGTACTGAATAGCAAAAGATATCATGACCATGTGCTGCATCTTGTTTAGTAACAATATATTTTCATACATACAAGGGTTCATGTATAAACAAGGGAGCTCATGCACACCACATGGAGAAAAGAACCAATGGAATGCACATAACATACATGATTATGCCACAAGAAAAGGGAAAAGAATGGTCAAATCTTTACACTCACCTTCATTGTCTCAGTACTAAGAGGGGTCTGATTTCTCAGAAACTGCTGTAACACACTAAATATTTCATTAACTTTGAGTTCTTTAAACTTCAGAAAGTAATCCTTTGCTTTAGCAGGATCAGGAAAGCATGAAGACATCTTCATAACCAATGACTCTATTTTCTTTTTGGCTTGTTCTGAACCATTATCCTATAAGACCACAACCATGCCAACAAGTATATATGGATCAGTATGTTGCAAATAGCAAGTACCTATCAGTAATTTTCTGTAATATTGTTGTAACTTTGATAAATCAATATAGGATGCCTCATTGGATGGATTAAAATATTCCAACGGAATTTACAAGCTTTTCTAGCCTGTTTTTGTAGTAACAAACCACTGAAACCACCTTGAATAAGTACCAAAAGGAAACTCGTTATAATGGCGAGCTGACATAGTTCAGAGGTAACTGCAATTCAAAATCAAGCAATGCTAGTTAACTGAGAAACATTCTGATAAATAGAGACCTGTCTATCGCTAAGAAAATCAATTGGGAAACGTGAATTTCATAGAACATTAACCAATGCCGAAATCATTTTTGTTATAGCATACCAGTATGTCCTCAAGACACAGTCAGTACTCCCTCATTGCTGAGTCAAGTCTCCATAAAAACCCTACATCATCTTTCTGTAAAGTAATAAGAACAGATAATTTGGTTTCACAATCATTTATGCCACTGGTCAGTTCTAGTGTTGTATATCTCCAAAGTCCAAACTGCTCTCACATCTGATAACCGAGAGACTGAAACAGAAGAGCCAAACAAGCATCATGATACTGAAATCTCTTCTTCCATTGATGCCGAAGACCAAAATGACATCTCCATAAATTTCCTCTTGTTGTTTCTCACCCTCGAGCAGACAAAAATCCCACCAGTGGACACAACAGTGAACAAAAACGAACATAGTTTTATACCTTTTCTATCATCACCGCCAAATAAAACATAATATTCACTTACTTAAATATAACTCAAAATCTAAAAGAAGCTAGAGCCGGGTAACATTGCATTTTCCCAGAACCAGTTTTCCATCTAAATTAATGTTTTGATGGCTTATTCTGTGTAGGTAATTAATAACTGGGATGTAGGTTGATGAAGGCATGTAATAACTATGGGTTAGTTTAACTTGCTGAAAAAACAAAGGGGGAAATTAGTCAGAATGAACTTGGAGATGGTGAATTCCAAATCACCAACACTGAGCTTTATTATTCGTGTCCGGTAATACAATTAAAGTTTTTCCTGAGAGTTGTTTATTCAAATAGCACAGGGGATTTTGGCTACACAGCTAATCCAATGAGATCAAGCTATTTATAAGAAAAAACTCTTATTCTGCAGCCTTAGTAAAGGTACAAGCATATCCAGAAGATATACAACCATAAGAGAAGTTAAGCGAAAAAATCAGTTTTCATGCTATACCTCCACTCCAGTCCAGAGATCCAGGAAATCTTTAAGCCCATCTCGTAACCTGGCAGAAAATTATAAAGTTCTAAGATGTGTGCCTTGAAAAAACTAGGAAGTGAAACCAATCAGCAGTCATGGGGGAGGGAAAGAAAAAAGCACCTTCGTTTATGAGAGAGAATAATTTTCAGTGCCTTAAGATGGGGTTGCTTGAAGAGGGAAAATATAATTATCCAGTGCCTTGTTCTTTCTTCAATTGAAAGAGAAGCAGGGAATAAATCAGCCAGAACAAGCTCCATGCTTTGAGGCCTGGAAGTAAAGCAACGCCATAGTATTGCATTTTATTGGAATAGACTAAAGCCATTAACTTAGTTTTGCATATATTAGGCATACCTGAACTCCTGACAGTCTTTCTCATAGCAAAGCATCAAAACTTTGCAAGGAATATCCTCCATATGTTCATTGAGCAAAGTGATGTCTTCTGCACACCTTGTGCAATATTTCTGGTACAGTTCTACCAACTTCTGCAAGGCTTTGCTTCTGACAAAGACCTAAGTAATACAAAAAATAAATCAGAGACTAAGACCAGAAAAATTCAGAAAATTGGATACCCTTGAGGAGAAGCAAAACCTTCTTATCACGAAGCCTTTTAGATGCTTCATTTATTAAGCCTGTGAACAGGTTTAAGTTAGCCATAGCTAGTTGACACACCACATTCACTGCTTCGACTCTGACTTTGTCATCATGATCTAATAGTCGATCCTGAATGGCAGCTGCACATCTCAGATAAATATAAATCAGGGACAGGTAGGGAGAAACAGAAATATGCAGATACACAGATCACTTGCATTGTAAAAGCTTACAGAGTATCTTAGGTGATTCTTTCACTGAAAGATTAGTCGTGTGCATATCTTTAGCACATGAAAGAGCAATAAGTCTGACTCCCGCAGATTTATCAGAGAATCTATTCAGCAATTCACAGTAGACATGTGGATAATCCCGTGCAAACTGATGCCCATGCATTGATAGGAGCTTTCTGATTAAATTAATAGCTTTAATGCGGACATCAACCTGATCAGTCTGCAATTTGCATTAACTTTTCACTGACTAGAAAGAGCCAAAATAAACTTTTAGAAGAAAAATAGAAACTACACATGGAAATGGATAGGTGGCTGAATGGAATGACAAGAAAAATGAAATGTGTTGGTCAAAATGGAACTATACATGAAAATGCTGAACAGAGAAAAATATGATATTCATTATGTTAACAAGAATTTAATATTTTTTTTGTCAGAATCAGTAAAGAAGGAACTACAGACCATTAATTCATGAGTCAGAGAAGGTATAACTGAGAGGAGCAATTGTGGAGAAATTCTGTATATTTCAATTATGATCTCATGGTAAGATTCTTTAACCACACTCCGAACAGCATCTCTTCCCAATATGCATGATTTCAGGAACTGACATAAACTGCGCTCCAACTTTTCACCACAGTTTTGCATGACAGCGACAGCAAGTTGATGAGAAGCAGATCCTATACACTGAGTAGCACGAGAGCAAGGGAAAAACTTAGTAGCGTAGAATATTCAATTTCCATAAGAAAATGCTCTGTCCAATACCACGATAAAGTCCATGTAAGTGCAGTACAGAAATAGTCTTGTTCAACATCTACCTTCCTTTCCTTGATGATATTCTGCAAAATCACATCTATGAGTGAATGAGATGGATTACTTTCAAGAGGATCGTGACCATCCTCCAAAATGCTTGTTATTATTGATGACATTGAATTAATCAAACTTTGAGGATGATCCTCCCTACAAATATAACAACAATACTCAAATTAATGACATTCGGCCACCCAATGAGGACTCCAAAGGGAGTATGACAAGAAAACTCAATTTATAGCATACAAGAGTGAGAAATTGCAAGATCGTAAACAGAAATTTGAAAAGAAAGAAAGAAAGAGAGAAAGAAAGAAGGAAGTGAAGACTTCACCATTGCTCAAATATGAATTTCCAAATAAATCACAAAGAAAACAATCTAGTGGAACTTAGCATCAGATATAATAGCAATATATTCAAGAATGAGGACAAACATTACAAGTGCAGGAAACAAAGCATAGTGCAGACAGAAGCAATACATTCAAGAATTAGGACAAACATTACAACATTACAAGTGCCAGGTATCAAGTATTATTTCATTTGTTATACTATAACTAATTCCAACAAGCAAGCAAGAGAAATTACAAATTCTATCTGTACTTCAATAAATACAATAAGTTTCTTTTACAGGTTTCATTTCCATAGTCAGTCTCTAATGATTTTAATAGAAGGAAGTTAATGTTAATATATTTTCTCGTTGTATTAAGAAAGCATAAAATAAGATATGCAGAAATAACAATAACAAAATATTAAGACAGATGCTAAATACAAAAAACAGACCTCACAACACTGAAGAAGCTTTTGAACATTTTCAGAACCAAATCCTCACATCCAGTATCTAGCATTACCAGACAAAACTGCAGTTTAGCAACAGTCTCCAATAATTTGGCCCTCCTCAAGAAATACGGACTGGCAATGTCATCAAGCTCCTCAAATATGCTTAAAAGAAATCTAAAGATGTCCTGTAAAAAGGAAAGAAGTAACAGAATACATATGTCCAAAAAGAATGGGGTACAACAAATAAAATCCACCGGCTTGTGACTTAAATAATTACACACACAGACACAAAATAATAATAATGCACATGTAAGAGTCTCACCCTAAAAACTGCAGGGCTAAAATCAGGATTCGGTGCCAGCACCCTTATAATTTCGCAGAGACAGATGCCGACAAGGATTCTAATGTCTCTATCTTTATGGTCAAGTAGGCCATGCTTGATGAGAGAATCACTAATTGGCTTTACTGAAAATTTTAGTGACTCTGACTGCTTCAGCTCCTGGAAAGAACTTGAAGCCTGCTGTACCTCAGACTGTTTCATCTCTGAAAAAGCACTTGCAGCTTGCTGCACAGAGTATATCACAAGTCAACCTCAATACCCAATGGAACAAAAACATATCTCGTAAATAAATCACCGGGCATCCAATCAACCTATTTCATTGCTCGAAGCACCAAAAGTGAAAGCTCGGGTTTCAATAAACAATGTCATTGATGGGGGTGGCGGTAAATGGCGGTTTGCCAAAAATCCGCCATGGCGACATATGGCACCGCCATAACCGCCATCCTTCACAAACTTAGCATGGCGGATTGTCAAAAATCCACCACGCTATACCGACATGGCCACCATTTCATAACAATGAATAAATTTAAAATGTTAAATTATATCATCTTTAGGACAAACATTTTGCACTATGCCTCAATGACCTCATGCTGTTTTGGGATAGTGATACATGTATGGTAAATAACAAAAAAAAAAAAAAGGATTTATTATAGTTATACAATGCCAATAGCTCAAATAACTGCTTAGTCACGTCTAGGAACAAGCACCAAAAACTGGGAAGCATTGGTCAAACCGATATCTCTGTAACTAAATCTCATTGAAATGTCATATTACTTGATAGCTGTCCATATCGCTAATAAGATATAAGTTGATACTTCATGCCTCCACTTGCATTATAGCTTGTAACTGTGAACACCACATAAATGTGAGCAATTTTACATAAATACTACAAGTTGGCAAATATTGAATATTGTGCGTAACTCCATTTCTTTTTTGTTTTAAATGGACGACACTAGATTTAAAGAATGGCATGCGGTCAAGAGAAAGTCCTTTTACTTAGCTAGTTAGCTTGCTTTGCCTGACTGTAACACCAATGACAACTCAAATGTCAACTGGAATATCCCAATCCCAAGGATTTTTGGAAAAGTGAAGCAAATCAAAGGAAGAAAAATAAATAAAATCACCACACAATTAAGTACCCTAACACCACAGAATGACAGAATCATGAGCACATCACAGCACAAATAAAGCATACAACATACAGCAGTAACTACATCTTCCCTCTTTCATCAAATTCAGTCGGTGAAAATTTATCATTGCGTAAAATGCTTTGTAAATCAACTATCAAAATATGAAATCTAACAGCAACAGATAAATTACAGAAGCAGCAAAAGTCAAAGACAGTGACCTAGACATATGAAACAATTAGCAAAACAAATCAGTTACCCACTATTCAGGGTATTCTATTGCAGATTTTTACCTTGAGCAATTTGACGAGCGTGCTTTTGTTCGGGCAAGTTTTTGAGCTGGCGAGTTGTTTGCCGATTTGCAATATAACTTTCTCGGCCTCCTCCTCCTTCTTCTCTGCCTCGGCCATTAGAGTGTGCTATGTGCGACAGTGTGTGTGTGTGTGTGAGAGAGAGAGAAAGAGAGAAATTTTCGGTGTTTGCTTTTGCTGTGAAAAAGATTCCCGCCTCAGAGCAGATAATGCTTTGCTCACACTCTGACAGAGGCGGTTAGCGTGAAGGTGTGAGGGTATCTTGGGTAATTATCATTTACCGCGATTGGGGTGTGTTTGGTTGTGCATTGTGATAAATTCCGATAGGTCGATGGTACTGGGCGCGACCGGGAAAACAAATTTTTGTCTCCTACAATGTATTTCGATTTTGGGGAAAATATTGAAATTCATTGAATAGCGCGTATTATTAGGGAAAATTTCATTTTTTAAACTCAAACCATGTTGGTATTTTGTTTTTGGTATTTCATATTTTGATGTGTAATCAATACTTAATATTTACTATTATACCCATTAGTCAATTTATCTCTTTTTTGTTAACATTAAAATTCTGTTAAAGAAACACTGAAATCACATTCTAAAATTAAATACAGTAGCTAAATCAATCATTTATTAAATTCGATCAAGATGGACTAGGTAGTCCATAACTATTGATTACTAACACAACACAAGCTAAACTGCTAAACAGAAAATATCATACTCCCTCACAAGTCACAAATAATGAAATACTAGGTAAATGAGATTAAAAAGCACACAAAAAATAAACATTAAAAAAAATGTAGAATTAATTATCCCTCCTCAAGTTAACATGTTGCCACCACTAAACCGCACACGAGCTCTCGACAAACCCCCTCAAATAGGCCACCATCAAAACTAAACGACATCCACCAACATACTTTAAAGGCCTCCGTCCAATCACGAAGCAAGAATCGTATATTTGAAGCCAACAAATATGAAAACATTAGTTAGCACAAATAGTTAGTTGAATAAAATAAGCGCGAATGTAACCTTAAACATGATGTTAAAAGATTAAGGGAGACATGTATTCTAAAGGGACGTTTGTCTAAACCATGTCAATAAGGGGTCTCAACGCCAACACTATGGTTGGAAGGTGGGCTAGAGATACATCGAAAGGGCCAAAGGGGCAGGAGCCAGGGGAACCAAGGTGTTGCATTGGAATTATGTACCCGGAAGCGAGGGGAATGTGCTTGGAAATGAACTATACATCGACATTGTTGTTGGATTATTTTAAAAAAAAAATGAAATTAAAGTTTGTTCAAAAGTTATTGTATATTTAACTATTAATTTTTCATGAAAAGTATTTGTATGAAAAACATTATTTTGAAGAATTAATACATCTTCTTGTGTAGTCAATCTTATTGTTGTCGCCTTATGTCGGTAGGCACCGTTTGTCGGCACCTGTTGCCTTTGTCGAATTTTCAAGAATTGTACATTGGACTTCGGCCAAATGATACTGATGATCCAACATTTTATTTTTTATGAAAAATATATGTTTAAAAACTACATTTTAAAAGAATTCAACATTATATCTCGATCGTCAATAGAATATTTATGTCGACATCAAATCGCTATGAATGTTTATAGTTTTCCAAGAGCGTTGCGACTGTTGAATTTCAAACGACGAGTTCCGAGAACTCGATTATCCAATCTTAATTAATGGTATCATAATTTGTTTCATTTTCATGAGTTACAACAACTCTATCAATTTCAGTTTATAATTCCACTTGGTTGTTAGTATGAGCTCTAATGTTTGACCTTATTTCAAATATGTTCTTCATATCTTCAACTAACATTTCAATTTCCCAAGTTATTTGCCATTTTAAGTATTCATAGTTTTTTATTAAAAAAAATCAACGATTTGAACTAATTAATAGACGAAAATGTTAGAATAAGTGAAACAATTGGGTAGCAAAATTGAAAAACAAGTCAAATTGGTATCACTTAATTTTTATTTATATAATTAATTTTTTTTTCCTGCCTTAAAAAATAAAATATCAGCGGCCAAAAGCAAATAAATTTGGTATCACTCATTAACGTGTTCATTGTTATCGTTCACCAAACAGCTCATAAGAAGGGAACACCAGAAGCAAATACGTGCCAGGCCAAAAAAGCACAACGGAGCAAGTAAAATGAGTGTACTGAGCCGAGCTGCGACCAGCACCGCCGCCTACGCCGCTCTCTCCGTCGCATTCAGCTTTCTGTTTGCGAGATCGGTGTCGCAGGATCGATGGATCAAGCTGCTGGAGGTGGAGAACAAAGTCCTGCTCGCGGAAAACAAGCTCATGGGAGGCACAAAATGGGACTGGAAGCAGAAGCTCTACGCAGAGACCGAAGAAAATCGCCAGAATGCCCCTGCGCCCATCTCCACTCTCAAGTCTCCCTATGGTGAGGCTGTCGCCGCCCCGACCTCCGCTGGTAAGTTCACTTCTCCCATTTGCTAGCTCGCTGATTGTGAGCTTTGTCATTTGTTATAATCCATTAGGTCTGCAAATTATCAACAAATATTCAAGTTTTATACATGTTGGGCTCGACTACTCTCTATGGACAGCCCGGTCCATCAATACGATATTGTCCGTTTTTTGGGCCAAGTCCGGACGGTTTTGATTTTTAGCTCTAATTCTAATGGACATGCCCAAGCTATGAATGCTTTTCCTTGCATTTTTCAAGTTCGAAGGTTGATACACTTCTAGTCGATCCATGTGTCAGCTGTTTTTCCGTGTTGATAGTAAAACTAAGGTCTGCGTGTGCTTCGTGGAAACTGCATTATAATTATCACCACGTATTTGGTGATCTTGTTGCATTTTTATCTTAATTTTCAAGACATTTATATCCAAATTTAGCTGTATTGCGGTGTTTTCAGTTTTGTCTAGACTATTTTAGTTGCTTAAGTCTGCCTTTGGGCAAAGACGATCACAAACCACCTTAAATGAATCGCTTATGTATAACTTTTTTCCTCATTTTTTTTCTGCAGGCCGAGATGATAAGCAAGGCGGCCCCGGCCCCGAGCCAAAAATCATGATCTTATAAGAGGTATCTCATAATCTATGGAGTAATATACATTTAACCTGTAAGCTTATTGAAACTGGGGTAAGCATAGATTTAGCAAGTAGTATGCGAAACACTTTACAAAAGCCCTCTTGAATTACTTTTGGAACAGCTTGTCTAGGCAATTGTGTAATTTGCCGTTTTACTAACTCCAACAAGCCTCAAATATTAAGACCAAAAAAATTTAATATGGGGAAAGAGAAAGTTGAGAGGGAAGTTGCAATATTGTAAGGAGAACTGAAAAATTCAGGACAAGGATGAGAGATTAAAAGTTGAAAGGCTATAGTAATGGGGATTGGATTTTTTGGTGTTGTGCTGCTGTTGTATGTGATTGTTCGCCTATATTTTTAAAGCTCGACCGCAAGTGTACGGCTTCGCTCGTAGTATGTGGCAAGCAAGGTCGTATCCCAAGAGACCAAATAATTATTATACCAATTACTAGATTATGATAGTGTCGATTTTATTTAGACGACCGAATATGAGATGGATTAACTAAACTAAGAAAATATAATCAAGGATATAAAGCAAAAATAAAGAACTAGCTAGAAAACACGTAAGAAGATATATGAGAATGATAGATTCTAAGACTTTGGTTTCAATTAATAGTTGGGTTCCTTCAGAAATATCACAACCAATGTTTTCTTTATCTTCCCTATAAGATGATCACAAATTTAGCTTATCGTCCCTCTCAAAATCGATAAAACCGTAGATTAAATCACACATATTAGCGTCTCCACTCAACACATGCAATTCAACTCCAAATAGATTAAAAGATCTAATATCCTCACAACAACCTACTAATCTCTCGATTCAAGCAAGTAAATTGTGTCAAATATTAAAGACCTAATATTGAACTCATCTCTCGAATTATGAACAATATTGTCAAACATGTAAAAACATTGGCCAAGTGCTAAACATGAAACAAGAACAAAATATTTGAATAGGGTTCAAAAGAAAACAATCAATTATAATAAATTATCCAAAATCCCAACATATTAATCTACTACCAAGTCTTAGAATCAAATAATCTAGCTACTCATGTTTGAATTCAAATACATAGACATATTAGAAATCAACATGATCAATAAAAGTTCAAAAGAAAGAAGAAAGGAAAAACTAGGAATCTCGTCGATCTTTCAATCTCCTTGATCCCTTTGTGGTTGATCTTCTTCTTCTCCCAATTGCTCCTCTTGTGTGTTTTCCAACCTCTCTAATGTGTCCCTCCTGTTTGGCCTCTCAAACTAGGTTAAATATGCTTCCTTTTGTGTCCAAAAACCTTCTCATCGTCAAAATAGGTAAGGATTAAAATTCTGTTCCAGCGCGCGACACGACCACACGGCCCGTGTCACAGGCCGTGTCGCAGGTCGTGTCAAGTTCAAGCCCTCGGAATGTCCCTGTACACGTGACACGGCCACCTGACACGGGCATGATGCCCGTGTCACCGTCCGTGTCACATCCCAGCACTCTCGTTTTTGTCCGTTTCACTCGTTTCTTCTATATTTCTCATCCGTGCATCAATCCATCATTATCTCGGGGGTCCTAGGTACTCACCATGCGCCTCCAATAGCCACAAGCTCTACAAATATGTGAAAATATCTACAAAACAAGCACGTGTAATACCTTTCCAACAAATAGAGAATTAAAGCACAAATATGCGATTTGTACACTACTAACGCAATGACTAAGCTCTAAATACTCAATAAATATGGTGTAAAATCACACATGAACAAACCCCCAAACTTAAACCATTGATAGTCCCGATCAATGCATCAAACTCCTACCAACACACAAGGAAAAACAATCACACTCTCAAAGTCAATCATACACATTCTCAATATGCCTCGGGCAAATAACATAATCAAGTTCCGGAATTTTTAAACATAAAGAATGCTGCATCAAAATCATGGTTAATGCTATAATTCACAAACCTCACTGGATAAGTGTATACTCTCACTCTCAAAAGTGTATAGGGAAATAATCGCTCAAATCAATTCAATGTTGAAGAATTACCATAAGCTTGCAAATCGTCTATTATCTCCACCACTCATTGTGCATGCAATTCGTGAATCAAAAAGGACTTTCATTCGGTTGTAATATAGGCTCTTTGGTTAGGGTAGGAAAAATATGGATAAAGTGACGAAAACTTGAGCATCTAGAACTACAAAACATGAATTACACAATTTCATCACCTATTAATCAATATCAAGCTCAAAACAACTTATCCCATACCCCATTTCAATCAAGACTCGCAAGCCATATAAGAAATTCTAAAACTCCAACCAAACCGCCTTTATTTCAGTTAAGGCTAAAATATACGACTACATATACTTATACTTTTTTTTTGGTTTTTTTTTTCAGATTTTTTTTCTTTTTCCTCTTTTTTTTTTCTTTTTTTTTTTCTTTTTATTTTTAAACAACTCTTTCAACCTCATTCAACTTCCCCCATCAACTTACACTCCCATTCGCGTCTTTCCTTTATCCACACCACAAACAATACACTCATCCTCTTCACATAATATTATCCTAAATGCTCAAGTAAGGACAAGGAAAAATATAGATGTAGCTCAATATGTGGCATCCAAAGAAAATAGGCAAAAGCTCAAGAGGGTTAACTAGGGAATAAAAATATCATTTGGTAAGCTAAAAGGGTCGAAAAGGCTCAAACAAAAAAATATGCCTTATATCATTTTCACAAATAGCACACACCATGTGGTCTCGATAAAGATACCAATGCAAGTTCTAGAATTCAAACAACAATGAATGATACACTCAACAAAAAAAATAAGGCTCAAAAGCTCACAAAGGATCATATATTCATGAATTAAAAGCATTAACCAATCATTCACATTCACAATTCCATCAATTCTCAAATTCCTTCACTTAGCACATTATGCCCGAATTATATATCAAATATGCACAAAAAACTCATCAAGTTGGATCAAAGTCAACCAACTACAACTACCCAAATCCTAAGAAAGCAATAAACGTGCTAAAGCTAACCTAACATGCAACTAAATGATATGCAAGGATAATGCAAGATATCTTGTTATCTTCTCTCTAAAGTTCTCAAATCAAAATACCACATCTCCCCCCCAAACTTGAATGAAATTATATGAAGCACAAAAGGGAAGAATAGAATTTCAATAAAAGTGAAATAGAGATACTTACAAATCATCATTGAAGAGATGACAACTATTAGTATAGATCTCGAAGCATGTCCTTCGTCGTGTAAATCTCTCCATGGAATGTTCTGCAAGGAAGAAAAACAAAATATCAAACAAACAAAAGTAAAACTAACTAAAAAAATAAAGCAGTAAACATTGGGTTGCCTCCCAACAAGCGCTAAGTTTAACGTCTTCAGCCAGACGCCTATGAAGTTCGATCAAGAGTTCTTCAAATCAATGTAGGACTGTCCATGGACTGAAAATGTCGCTTTGTCTTGTGCAATCAACTCCAACACTGTCGGTGGCCGCACCTTCTTGATCACGAATGACCTCAAGAATCTCGGCTTTAACCTTTTAAGAAATAGATTTGATCCCCACGTATGTTCCTTTTTGTAAAACTTCTCTTCATGCCACTTCTTCTTTTTTTTCTTGTAAGTTCTCGAACTCTCATTGCAAACATCTCGCCCGTCCAGCTCATTAAGCTTGAAAAGCTTCACCTTGTTCACCAAAGACATAAGGGTACCACCCACATATTCATACTCCTTAGGGTCAGGCAGACTTTTTAGATCCAGAATGGGTGGTTTCAACTTCGAAAGGCTCAATTGGGATGAAATAAACGTTGGCAGAACATCTGACACGGCCTCTGACACGGGCCGTGCTTGATGGTCCGGGTCGTGTCGTCGTCCGTGCTCCAAAAGACGTACCTGGGCATCTGACACGGGCACCTGACATGGACCGTGTCGCAGGCCGTGTCGCATCCCAAAAATCTGAGCTTCTCCCAGGTCTCTGACACGGCCACCTGACACGGGCATAGTGCCCGTGTCACTGCCCGTGTCAGCTCTGCGCGACTTAGTTTCAACTCCGATTTTCTCCGTTTTGCTCTCCGAGTTCATCATATCTTCCAACTTGATCACATCACCTGAATCAATAAAGTTAGTATGCATATTATTATCATGAAGTATAGGCTTATGTATTGAAAACAACACATGCTCATCATTAATACGCAAAGTAAGTTCTCCCTTTTTGACGTCAATCAACGCATCTCCCGTTGCTAAAAATGGACGCCCTAGAATCAATGGCACGTCACTATCTTCCTCCATGTCCAATACAACAAAATCAACAGGAAAAGTGAAGTTATCAATCTTGACATGCACATCCTCAACAATCCCCTTCGGACACGTTATCGAATGATCCGCCAATTTCAAAGTCATTGTAGATGGCTTCACTTCTCCCAATCCGAGCTTCCTGAAAACTGACAAAGGCATGAGATTAATACTAGCACCAAGATCACATAAAGCTTTGCTAAAGAACATATTCCCAATAGTGCAAGGAATCGTAAAGCTCCCGGGGTCCTTAAGCTTTGGAGGAATCGTGCGTTGGAGGATCGCACTACACTCTTCCGTTAAGGTCACCGTCTCAAGTTCCTCAATCTCCTTCTTCTTCGCAAGTCGTTGAGGAAACGGTAAAGAGATAGAAAGTTTAGGAGAGCCAAAGTTGGAATTAAATGTAATCCCAGGCCTTGACGTTGCTATCACACTTGGTTCCTTCATTAACTCATCACAAACTTTCTCCTCTTCACTTCGTAGATAGATGGCATGACATTGCTCTTTTGGGTTCAACTCGGTATTGCTAGGAAATTGACCCCTTTGGTGCTGGCTTCCCACGGCCTTGGCCAGTTGACCAATTTGCATCTCCAAGTTTTTCATTTGAGCCTCCATTGTCGTAGCCAATTGTGTCACATGATTCTCAATCTTGTCCAACTTCTCTTCATCTCTGTTGAAACGATTTCTCGTCTCATTCATGAAAGCTACCAGAACA